GGTCCTAATCAATGGTGGTGTCACTGGGAGACCAACAGCGCCACGGCCTTCCATTCTTTTTAAAATTTGTTAAATACCAGAACCTTACATTTTATAAAAATATAAATAGCACTCTAATTTTTTTTATAAAAGAATAAATATTGATGTGAAAAATTATTAAAATATATTTATTAATTTTTAAAAAAAATTCTGTTTCGTGGAGAATGAGTGGAAAATGAATAATATCAAGAAGATTCTGATCTCTACGAGAGGGCAGAATAATGAGAAAAAATAGTGTAAGCCAGATATGGGTTATTTGAAGATTAATGTTAATCACCAGACCTTATTGGGGGTTATGGACCCATGGTGATGTGGTAAGGGACCGTCAAGGAACATGGAGATGAGAATGCTATTGCTGGCATGGCATTAATGACTGAGGCAATTGCTTTGGAGCATGGTTGCAAAGAAAGCATATGTTATTTCCATTTTTGATAGAGGGGAAATGGAAGGATACTGTGATCTTCAACAAATACAAAGTCACTGGAATAAGCATGAACTGGGTCATGTTTTGGGCCTAGGCCATTCCTCTCTTTGGGAAACCGTAACATTTACAAGCATTTGGCCCGGAATTACGAAAGAGGCTGAGCTTAGATGATATTCAAGGGTTATCAGACTACAAAGTACTTGGGTAGACCATTCAAAAAAAGAAATGAATAAAAATACAAACAAACCGCAGAAAGTATCCGTGTAATTTGATATTATTATAATCTACCCTTTCTAGTATGTAGCTCTGTTTGTGCTTAATTTTACGTCTACATGGATATAAGACTTTCACCCAAGGAATAAGACATTTCTTAATTTGTTAGATGCACGATTAGGAAAATTAATAATCTTTTATCTTTACTTTAAAAAAAAAAAAGTTTAGACAACATCAAGAGATAATGATTAATATATTATTTAATTTTAATATATTATATAATATATTTATTTAAAAATTATTATCTTTTAATTTAAAATTAAAAACATTTAAACTTAAACATATAATTACGTAAGTAAAGTCTAAAAATTAACTAAATCGATTATGTTTCTATTACAATAATTAGGCACAACAAAATTGAATACACAACTTAAAAGATTCTAGAAAAGAATGATCAAGGTCATTGTCACCATTGAATTTATTAAAACTATCAATTTAATTATAATTTTATTAGTTTATAATTTTTTTAAATAATTAATTATAATATTTAAAAATATTAATCTATAAATTAATTTTAATATATTAAATAATAAATATTAATTATTTTATCAATCATTAATTTTTTTAACAATTAACTTAAAATAAAAATTTAATAATTTTTGTTAACCTTAATAAATTTAATAATAACCATATCCATACTAAGAAAATCTTTTGTCCGACAACATTCAAACCTCAATCCCTCTTCGCCAGGCCTCATTGACAATTCTTGCAAGTATTAATGTATAATATCTTGTGCTCAATCCTTATATTCCCCTACTTGATTACTAATTAATTTACTACAAATCGAAATTCAACATACATAGTTAAACAAAAATGCTAGGAACACTCGCCTAAAACCAACACGCGTGCACTTGCTCAAAGTAACATTGACACGATTGAAATTACAAATCCCTAGTCCTTACTGCATCATTACCCAGTGGAATTCACATGGCCATTTTACACAAGGGAATATTGAAAAGTGCTAAAAGAGGCGACTGCATATAACAGGGCTCGTAGAGTCATAGTTCAAAGTAAATTAACACCAACAAAAATTTCCGCAAACACTTAAAATAACAACATGAAAATGTTCAACATT